CTCTCTCTCTCTCTCTCTCTCTCTCATATGTTAGAAGCTTACCATCCGTGTTTAATCACGCACTGCCAAGCCAAACATCTTAATCAGACCAATTCTTGGACATGAACCTATCATCATCGTTGTCATTGTCGTTATTGTTTACAGATTAAAATTTTTAAAAAGCAGCAAAGAGGTTTTGGGTGATCTTGGCACAGTCAGGCTGGTTAGGCTCATCATCAGCTCAGGGCCCTTGCCCCCTCTACACGCAGCCCAGACAGCGAATGGGACTTCTCCCAGGAAGCGCCGCCTAGTCAAACCCACCCAAAACTTTCGGAGAATGTGAAGACTCCCCAACACTGCAGCCTTCTGTATTCCTGTAAGGGTTGTATTCCTGGAAGCAAATCCGGGTACTCCCCCAATGTGAGTCAATAGACTGGAAGGTACCAAACCTAAGGCACCGAGAACAATGGGGAGTCGGACAACTTGGTACTTGGGATGCAAGCGTGACATTTCGAACGCGAGGTCCGCATATTTGCCATGTTTTTTCCGAATCTTGTCAATCACATTACTGTCAAAGGGACTGAACATTCAATAACATAAATGATTTCATTGGATTTATCAAAAAGGACTAGGTCAGGTTTGTTGGCCTGGATACGTCTGATGCTGTATACGGGCCTATTCCAAAGAATTTTGTATTGATCATTTTCCATGACGCCCTCTACATATCCTAGGTCTTACCATGGATGGACCTCTGTGTCAAAACCACAAGCATTGCGAAGACGGTAATAAAATGATCGAGCTACACCATCATGTCGCTTAAGATACTGTGTTTGTGCTAACGCGGGGCATCCGCTGACAATGTGTTGGACAGTCTCATTAAATTCACTGCATAATCTACATTTCATATTTAGATTTTGATGCAAAATCACACATTGAGGGTTTCGAATGGGAAGTGACTGGTCCTGAGCAGCAAACAGAACAGAAAGCCGTCTGTTTCACTTTTCAAGCCAGCCGACTTCATCCAAGTGAAGAACTCTGCAGGGTTGATCATCCTCTCAACACACTGCACATAAACTGCAGTGGTCGATATTATTATTATCATTATTATTATTATTATTATTATTATTATGAGATGTTTTTCAAAACTGTTTTTCATTATTTATTTCTTGGCTGTAGAGTGGCCTAGTGGTGAAATCCTTTGCTCGTACCGCCAAAGATCCGGTTTTTATTTGCAACCTAGATATGTCGCCAACTTGTTGGCGTCCCAGACGTGGAATTGCTAGAATGTTGGTAAAGCGTCGTAAAACACGTTGTTCTCAAATCAGCAATATTTTCATTATTATCTAGCCTCCATTCAACTCAAATGTGAAAAACATCTCACCCTAAAAGAAAATCGGCTAAATTCGTGTTCACCGTATCCCGCTCCACCCAACCTATTTTACTGTCGACCTGCATCGTGGTCCTTGTTTCCTGATTCCGTTTTGTTTGTTTGTCTGTTTGTCTAAACGCCGCACTCAGCAAAATTCCAGCTATATGACAGCGGTCTGTAAATAATCGAGTCTGGACCAGACAACCCAGTGACTGATATCATTAGCATCGACCAACGTAATTGGAATACGATGATGTGCATCGACCAAGTCAGCGAGCCTGACCACCAGATCCTGTTTGTCGCCTCTTGCTGAAGACCTATTGTAACCCGGATCTTCACGGGTCTTTGTGTCAGTACATACCACATACCTGCGCCCTGGGCCTGACTCGACAGTCTGCGTGTCGATAAATTAGTCTCCATCACACGACAGCTGATAACCGTATTATAACCCGTGTCGGAGAAACAGGTGCTTGGCCAGTATAAGCGCATTATTTGTATTGGCATTTTCGAGGACGATGACTATACTTTCTTTACAAATGACAGTGGAAAATATTTTTAACTTAAATCTTAAATCATGTTCTTATCAAAAGGCCACAAGGCCACGAAAGCTACATCTTTTGAAGGTGAGTGAGCGAGTGAGTTGGGTTTGAAGTCGGGGTGATGCAGATCATTGACGTTGATGGCGTTGATGAAACCCACTATCATGCCTGGAAACATTTCTGACGGTTCTAGGATTCGAAGCCCCGATTACAGCATCATGGCACATCTAAGGGGCGTAACTGTGCAGAATGTATTGCGGCGGCTTAGACACCTGGGCTACCAGTGCCCCCTCTTAATGAAGATGAGTAGGGCCAGAATATGCTTTGACTTTGTTCGTCAACTAAATTGAACTTTTCAGTTATTTGTAAAGAGAGAATTGGAAAACTAATCTTCAGTTGTGGAATACTAGTATGTAAAGCGTCCTCTATAATTATGATGGGTTTCGGCATCAGTGATGGCATTTAGATTAAGAATTCAGCTTTTATGTCTTTAATTTGAATAGAAATTTCTTTTCTAAACTGTGATCAAGCTGACTCATTGTGTAGGCAGCACACGTCGTTTAATATATACATACTAGATTTGCTAATACTTCAGATTTTGTATCACTGATTATGTCCCATGTCCCTCAGCCTCTGCTGAGAGTGTATTACTATCCAAGATGTTTCCAAGGTGTATTTGACAAGGTGAGTAATTAAGTCCTTAATGCGGAGATCAGGTACCTAACCTACACATGACTTGGCACTGTGTTATGAGCCACTGTGCCATTGGAAACCTTAGAAGCTCCCACACGCCAAAAGCGGATTATATTTTGCCCTAGCTGAACAACAAAAGTCAGTTTATTGCAGATGCCTGGCGTGATTCTAAATTAGCTATAGCTACATGTATAATGATCCTTCACACGCACGCACGCACGCACGCACGCACAAACACACACACACACACATCGTGTCCGTCACTGGCTTAAAGCCTCTTTGAACAGTAGTTCAGTCACACCACGGGGTGTCAGCTTGATGCTAGAGGAAAGCCCGAAGTGATGCAGGTCTTGCAAATTTATCACTTTGATGAAACCCATGATCATTGGATCCTGACACGACAGGGGGACGTAACTCTGCACAGCGAATTTCGGTTTTTGAGATGACTTAACTCTAGTTTAACATATAGTCCCAAAATACGGTATGTAAATTGAATATTAAATAACAATATAAGGAACCATACGATCTCTTAATTTCGTCAAAAAAGGGGAACAGAAGAGATGCAAGATCTGACATGGGGATTGGAACAAGGTAATACAGAGACTTGATGTTCTAGGTCGGTAAAAGGCACTATTCGTATCCAATATAGATGGAGCATCAAGAGATATCTGCACACATACATATACCAATCAAAGGTGAGGTGAGGTGAAATGGGGTCTAACGTCGCGTCCAAGATTATTGCACTTATATAGCGACGTATACCAATCAAAAATAAGTTAATGACCACTATAGGTTAATGTCACTATAGTTAATCTGTTATGCCACGCTGCAGTAATGTGAAACAACCGATGGTCCTTAACTTATTTTGAGTAGTATATGTAGAATCGCACCGGGTATCCGGCGTCGTGTTTCTTTTTCCAGTAGGCTACCACATCTATGTTGGGTCAAATTACAGATCCAGGCATGATATACTGGGTTGAATACCTCGCACCTTTGACCTCAATGATTATGTGTTACAACGTATCCAAACGTATCGATTGGGGCTCATTCGATCACCCACTTGTTTGCCTCGGTCGCTATAATCCACAGACTGTCACTACATAAGGCGACTGTGCCTGTCATAAGAGGCGACTAACGGGATCGGTTGGTCAGGCTCGCTGATTTGGTCGATGCATGTCATCGTATCCCAAATGCGTGGATCGATGTTCATGATATCAGTCACTGGATTGTTTTGTCCAGACTCGATTATTTACAGTCCGCCGTCATATAGCTGGACTATTTCTGTATGCTACGTTAGAGAACAAACAAAGAGTCACTTGATAGCTGTGATATCCGCCGCTAACTGAGTCAGCTGCAACGCGCGACTGGACTTATTACAAACAGAGAATATAAACAATTTATAAACCAGGACGTATACAATCAATGTTCTTATGTCGTAATAATTTCATTAATGACGCTCCTTGTTACATGATTAATAAATCATGACATATTCTTGCGTCACAGCCCTACGTGACATAAAATTCAATAATCAACAGATATCATTTTGATGTTAGTAAGTAATTCAACCCATATACACCACACGACAAGAGCGTTACTTGATAGTGTCAGCGCCTCGGTCGAACCAGATTACAACTTAAATTATTCAAAGTACGAGCAAGATTTTAATGACTTCATTCCCCCATAAAAACAGATCGCATGTTTTTTTTATGGAAATCCACGTAGCGGAATTAGGATCACTTTGAAAGTTGTTTGTCTGATATATAAATGTCAGAGAGAGATGGCACCGACTTGTCTCTCAGAGCTGCTCCTCCCAGCAGGATACAGTCCAAAAAGATCCTTTAGATCAGAAAAAGATCATCGTCATATTTATTCATTATTATTATTATTATTATTATTATTATTGTTGTTGTTGTTGTTGTTGTTGTTAATAATATCAATATTATTATTGTTGTTGTTGCTGTTATGATTTTTTAGTGGTAGTATCAGTAGAACCATCATCATCATCATCATTATCGTCGTCGTCATCATATGCATCCATTCATTTATTATTGTTGCTATTATTTAGTAGTAGTAGTAGTAGTAGTAGTAGTAGTAGTAGAAGTAGTACCACCATCATCATCGTAATCACCAATATTTTGTTTTACGGTCGGGTAGCCTAGTGGTTAAAGCGTTCGCTCGTCACACCGAAGACCGGGTTCGATTCCCGACATGGGTACAATGTGTGAAGCCCATTTCTGGTGTCCCCCGCCGTGATATTGCTGGAATATTGCTAAAAGCGGCGTAAAACCGCACTCATTCACTCAATACATAAACCAATGATAACGGAGCACGGTGAAACTGAGCTGTAAGATAGTGTACATTGTCGCGTGGTGACACAACACTATGGGTTAACCGTGGACGGATATGACCCAATCGAATACGCCACAGACATACACTGAAAATGCAACACGCGTGACAGACAGCGCCACAGCTGTGGTCTGAAAGGCAATAACACGCTGGTTATAACGCGACGGTTCGAGAATAAGGTAAGTGCAGCTTTTATTTCAAAATAGTATCAATGACAATTGTTTGTGAGCAGGGGAACTGCGATTTCAATCGACTGGAATCATAATTTTGAAGTTTTATGAACACAAATAATTAATCATTCATATTTCGTAGAGTTGTTCAATATGACCCAGGTGTTGCAATAGGCCAATTTGTTTAGATTGAGTGAGGATATATTGTCGTTAGAATCCAACGCTTAACACCTGTCAATAATGATCAGAAATAGTAATAAACGTATTCCGTCAAAAGTGTTACATGCAAAACAATTTGCAATATTTATTACGTAATAATGTAACAACCAAGTAGGATATAGTTAAGTTTGTTTTCCTTGATATTGTTAATGTTTTCTGCCATACATGTATAGCGGATACAGCGCTGTAATCGTTACCCTGATCGCCGAAACCTCGTTCTGTTATGACTCAATTCTCACATGCATGCCTTTGTTGAAGGGTCATAGCCCGTATCGTGGATATGTAAGTGTCATTGTAACAAAATTACAACAAGGGTGCTAAGTTTTTCTGTGTACTATGCTGGTCAGCTTAGCAAATATTTAAAAAAAATAAAAACCGTGGTGACGTAGGCTATAAAGAAAAATAGCGATAGAGCGATTCGTGTAGCCATTCTTCGCACCTAATCACATGTTCGAACTTTTGATTTTGGGATTGACAGATTACTGGGTTATGTATATTCAAGTTTGCAGGTTCCCCCAGACTTGAAATAACGAGACCCCATAAGCTCATCAGGGCACCTACTGTTGAAATAGAAAAGGTGTAATCTAGCACCAGAGGGCGCTTTTAACAGTTACTGATCTGTGTGTCCCGCCTTGCGTCTGTTTCCTCCCTACAGTACTTATGGTTTCACGATTAAGCCGACCGTATTTGGAAAATTGGAAACGTCGGAGTTATGATTCCTGCAGATAAGATTTGAATTAAAGTAAGAAAGCGAGAAAATTATTTAAAAAGGAAAATAGGCAACAATTTAAAGGAAACCCATATGTAATTTATTTGTATACTAATTTATATACTATTTATATTATTTCTATTCATAGTTCGTCTCCTTGTCGATTTAATGACAATGTTTCATCTGATAGTACGAGCGGTTTCTACCATGATTCTAAGATGTAATTATTTCTAGTCAAGGTTTTAAATGCTAGATTAAGAGTCTAATCAACACCTTGACGATCTCGAATTTCAAAGCATTGTACAACGGTTATAACGAACTCAATGGGACCACTTATTCTTAGTTCGTAAAAATCCTATTTCGTTATAAGCATATACACGGCATATAAAAAGCAAATGGACCGGACCAAAAAAGCAGTTCGTTATAACCGTCAGTTCGTTATAAGCATGTTCGTTTTAAATGTAGTTTACTGTATACACCAAATTCATACGAGCACTTTGATTATCTTTGAGTGAGTGAGTGAGTGAGTGAGTCAGTGAGTCAGTGAGTGGTTAGTTTTCACGAACTGGAGAAAAATACACCGATTTCAGTTCGACATAGCTTTAAGTATTAAGTAATTTCTGTTCGGTATTAAGAGGCTGCAAGTTGTGTATTTTGAATTTCCCTTCGTGTCACGGAAAATACTAATCTGTCTTACAGACCCTGATACAAATATATATTAGATACAGCCCATGCAAGTCTATAATGTTTGGCAAGTCACAAGATCACTGCAGTATCAGGCTGAAAATGAAGAGAGTCACTGGGCTCCTTTTTATTATATTTTTATTAAGATAACTGAACAACTGTATTTTGCTGTACGATATGTTCATTTCAGAGACTAGATGTTAGTCTAGGAAAATGCCGATGGCTGAGCAGATGTAATGCAATTTAGAAATCGGTTGTACAGTGACAACAAACCGTCAGTCAGTCACACAGTCTGGTCCCCTTTGAAAGCATGTAAATACTGCAATAATTCTGCAGTCAAATGTCTACTTTTAATATACATGCTCTCGGTAGCACCACAATCCAATTAAATAACGAAAATTCCTTGGCATCTGGGCGAAGAACAGACAGGGTGACAGTTCTGTATTAGCAAAAGTCTGCTGTCTGGGGAATGTCACACATGACGTGTATATTTGGGGATTAAAAAGCCACTTCGATTGTTTCATTTTTTATATTGTTTATATCTGTGATCTGGGATACATGTAACTGTCATGGTTAAGAAGCAAGGGGGACCGAATCATCCAATACTTGAGCGATTCTGTTTGTTTATTGTTTATTTGTTCTAGATGCCGGGTCAGTTGTAAGCTTTGGAATGTGCCCCACATCTCGGTTACCAATTAGGCTGTCTAGGCCACAGAACCTATTCTCAGATGCTGTTGTGTTAAAGTGCCGTGGAGCACGGGTGGACCAGTCTAAGGTGCCGCAATTAGCTGTGCAGGTTGTGTCCCTGGGGCACGCCAGAAAGCTGTTGTTGTGGGTTCGAATCCCAGTTCGACCGGTTATGTTTCTGGGTTTGTCAGCACCATACCGGTGCAATTGGGTTTCACCGAAGTGGTAAACGTCTGAGACCTGCACCACTTAATTCGGGCTTTCCTCCTACATTAAGCTGACATGCCGTGATATAACTGGAATACTGTTAAAAGCGGCGTTAAACCCAACTCACTCACTCACTAAATGCCCATTAAATGTAGTCACCGATTTGATGGTCAGTTCCAAATCTTCCATTCACAATATGTATGTTCAGAATTGAACACATTTTCAAAAGAGTGAAATGACTGGAATACTGTTCAAACCATCTGTTTATATGAACAATGGCAAACTTATCGAAGACAAATAAAACAACAAACCCGTTTGGTTCTTTCAAATTTACATGGTTATCTTGAAGTTTGTTCCAGAACAAGTGGATGATATTATGAACACATTCACAGCAGGAGACTGAGTCAGACCACCCGATCCTATTAAACCACCCCTTAAAATCAATAGAAATGCTGGGGATTTATTTTGCCCCTGCCCCCTCGGGTTTATTAAGGAACAAATTCTCAGTTGCCTTCGAGCATCGAATACCGTATCTCAGTGAGCTAGCACTAAAACATCGGCATTAGTCCGAACTAGCACAGACACACACACACGAGCATGCACGCCACTATATAAATTTATGTGCAATAATTTTGGGCGCGACGTGAAACCCCATTTCACTTCACCTCACCATAATAATTTACATCGTACAGATTATAATGTAGATAGACACCGAAGGGAGAGGACTGATGAAGTAATAGATACTATAAGTATAAAACTACTTTTACTACTGTACTGTCCGCTTATCTAGACTTGCTTATCAGGAGGATAGAATTACCACACACCCATGAACTTATCTTTCAGTACAGCCTTGGAGGAAGGCTATATCGGAATACCAACGGGTTGAGTGTCAGTCATAGTGAGTGAGTGAGTATGGTTTTACGCCGCATTTTAGAAATATTCCAGCAATATCACGGCGGGGGCCAGAAATGGGCTTCACACATTGTACCCATGTCGGGAATCGAACCCGGGTCTTCAGCGTGACGAGCGAACGCTTTAACCACTAGGCTACCCGACCGCCCCTATATATGTCATAGAGACATAACCATTCAATATGAGGTTTAAAGCAATAGGTATACACTGCTCAGTTTTATGTAGTTATCTAACAAATTCGACATCTCTTAATCATGAAGTTTGATTGTTGAAAATAGGGATTAACATTCTCACAGATAGCACAACTGCAGCTTGGTTTTGTAGCTGCCCCCTCTCAATTGAGATCAGAGTTAAACTGACTGAATGAGTACCTTCATTTTGTGTGCAAGATCTTTTGAAATGTTGGTTACCGTCATTACATAAAGCTAAAATAACAAACAACTTCACACTACGTAAACATAAACATTTCATAGGCTAGTGTTTATACAGGAAGTTAACAGAGGGATAACATGATTATTCTATTGAATTTTAAGTAGTACCTGACCAGTAATGCTGAGTTATAACACATACTAGGGTGGTGATTACGATAATGCCAATTATCACATACACAAACATGATAATATCACATTTTGATCATATTATTACGATAATAAATACTACACAAATTCAATTGTTGTATTCGGATCATATTTTCCAAATTAAGGTTAGGAAAGGAATCGTTTTTACACTAGTCAACATTAAAGACGTTCAAAGACTTTTATGTGTTGCCCTCGGCGCTTGTTATCTCCTCATAAACAGAAGGAATCTCAAAGATTTCAATTAAACCGAGTCTAGGCTCGATGTGTTTTCTTTCTTCTGAGCTAAGGGGGCACTGTTGACCCTGTCGTCCAAGGGGCAGCGATCGTTTGGCAGAGTTGCGTCCCTTGGGCACGCCAGAAACCTATGATTGTGGGTTCGAATCCCGGTTCTTCCCGATTATGTTTCTAGGTTTGTCTGCACCAAACCTGTGCTCGTGGGTTTCGGTGGTAAATGTCTGAGACCTGCATCAATTCGGGATCTTCTCCCATACTAAGCAGCCCGTGAAGATTGCGGGGTAGAATAGGTCTTCAGCAACCCATGCTTGTCGTAAAAAGTGACTATGCTTGTCGTAAGAGGCGACTAACGGAATCGGGTGGTCAGACTCGCTGACTTGGTTGCGTGAATCGATGCTCATGATATTAATCACTATAATCACATTGTCTGGTCCAGACTCGATTATTTACAGACCGCCGTCATATAGCTGGAATATTGCTGAGTGCGGCGTTAAACAAGAAACCAACCAACCAACCAACCCATATTAAGCTGACACGCCGTGATAAAACCGGAGTACTCGTCACGGAAGCGTCACTCTTTTGAGCACAGAAGTGATGTTTACTTTGACATATACCTTTTCTCCAGTAATACATGTTGCGCTGTGGCAAGTTTGAAGTTCATTAACTTTATAACCTGTTCGTGGTCAGAAAACGACAACCAAAAAAATTATTTTTATGTTACATATAAGTTATAAGACCCAATTTCTACTTTCATGACCAATCAAATTCAAACACGCTGA